TGGAAGCGTCATGGAACTCTCAGGTAAAGATGGACAGTGAGCCTTTGGACATTCGGATTTGGAGCTTGAAGGAAGGAACTGGAGTCATGGGCGCCATGCCTGTATATTGTGCCGTCTTTGGGTGCCATCTGTACGTTGTAATTGAGAAAACTGTAATCCTACAAGAGATGACCAACAAGAGACATGTAAGGTAAGTGTGGAGTCCAGGGGTCCACGTCTATTAACAGAAGAGGGAGAGGGAGATGACAGTCTACAACACTGAGAAGACACTCTTGGGAGGGAGAGAAATGTACTAGGAAAACACACCATGGACCAAGATGAAAAGTGGTTTTCAAGGAGGAGGATACAATTAGCACCGTCATAAGCCATGGAGAGGTCAAATAAGATAAAGACTGAAGGGATTCACTAGGTGTGGCAACATAAGGTCACTGGGAACTTTGCTTGGGGAGTTTGAATAAGTTGTTAGGGCAGGAGCCATATTGTGGCAGTTTGGGAAGTGAGGTAAAAGGGCCCTCCGACCAGTCTGTCCAGAAGACTGGATCAGAGAAGGAAAGAGACAGCAGGGGCTGGAGGGGGACTTGGGGTGGACGAGGGTTCCCAACTGTTTCTTCTGTTGTGCTTTGGGCTCTATGGGCCACCCAAAGCTGATCTCGTCCCTGTGCTCTCAACTCCTATCCAGCTGCTGACTTGACATGGGATAGATGTCAATGGGCATCTTGAACTTAACTCATTCGAGATGGGACTCTTGATTACTCCTCTAGAGACTTCTTTTCCCTCACTGCAGATCAACCACCTAGTTGCCTCATTAAAATCCCAGGATTCGGGGCGCCTGGGTGGCTCAGTCGGTTGGGCGACTGACTTCGGCTCAGGTCATGATCTCACAGTCCGTGAGTTCGAGCCCCGCATCGGGCTCTGTGCTGACAGCTTAGAGCCTGTTTCAGATTCTGTGTCTCCCTCTCTGACCCTCCCCCGTTCATGCTCTGTCTCTCTATGTCTCAAAAATAAATAAATGTCAAATAAAAAAACAATTTTTTAAAAAAATCCCAGGAGTCATCCCCAATTCATCTTTCTGATTTGCTTATATCACTCATGGATATTTATCTTATTCTTTAAAAGGACATGTGAGGGGCGCCTGGGTGGCGCAGTCGGTTAAGCGTCCGACTTCAGCCAGGTCACGATCTCGCGGTCCGTGAGTTCGAGCCCCGCGTCGGGCTCTGGGCTGATGGCTCAGAGCCTGGAGCCTGTTTCCGATTCTGTGTCTCCCTCTCTCTCTGCCCCTCCCCCGTTCATGCTCTGTCTCTCTCTGTCCCAAAAATAAATAAACGTTGAAAAAAAATTTTTTTTTAAAATAAATAAATAAATAAATAAATAAAAGGACATGTGGCTCTTATTTTGTCTTATAGCCCAGTTTTGGAGAATTTTTCTAATAAAAGTAAAGGTGTGGGCACCTGGGTGGCTCAGTTGGTTGAGCATCTGACTCTTGTTTTCGGATCAGGTCATGATTTCATCATGGTGAGATCTAGCCCCAAGCCAGGCTCCACACTGAGTGTGGATTAAGATTCTCTCTCTCTCTCTCTCTCTCTCTCCCCCTCACCCCTCCCCCACTTGTGCATGCTCTCTCTCTCTCTCTAATAATAATAATAATAATAGTAAAGGTGTTCTGATACAGTAAAGGTGTTTGACACACAGTCAAAAAGGATGAAAGATGTCTACCACAGTGGGTGTTTTCGGAAGGATCCCATCAATAAATTGGACTTCGTCAAAATTAAAAATGTTTGGTCTTCTAAAGACACTGTTTAGAAAAGACAAGTCTAGACTGGGAGAAATATATTTGCAAACCACAAATCTGACAAAATATATAAAGAACACTCAAACTCAATTTTATTAGGATCAGGCAATAGTTTCTTTAAAATTATGCCAAAAGCACAAGCAACATAAGAAAAAATAGATAAATGACACTTCACTGAAATTAAAGACTTTTGTGGATCAAAGGACATTATCAAGAAATTGAAAAGACAACCATGGAATGGGAGAAAATATTTGGAAATTGTATGTAAAACAAGGGGCTAATATCCAGAATATATTAAAAAAAACTTTTAAAAATCAACAATAAAAAGACAAAAAATCGTCTTAAATGACTAAAGAATTTGAAAGACATTTCTCCAAAGAAGATACACAAATGGCCAAAAAGCACATGAAAAGATGCTCCATATCACTAGCCAGGCATTAGGGACATGCAAATAAAAACCACAACGAGATACATCACATCAACTAAGATGTCTATTATAAAAACAAAACAAAGCAGTAAAATAATAGGTGTTAGTGAAGCTATTAAAAAACCGGAATCTTCATATATTGCTGATGGGGAGGTGACATAGCAGAGCTTCTGTGTAAAACAGTTTCCTCAAACTGTTAAACATACAGTGACCATATGATTCAGCAATTTCATTCCTAGGTATCGACCCAAGAGGAATGAAAACATATGTTGCCGTAAAAACATGTACAGGAACGTTTCAGAATTTTTCATAAGAGCTAAAAAGTGAAAACAAATGTCCCTCAGTGGGTGAATGGATACGCAAAATGTAGTCCATTCATACAATGCAATATTATTCAGCCATAGAAAGGAATAAGGCACGGACACCTGCTACAACATGGGTGAACCTTGAAAACATGATGCTGAGCCAAAGAAGCCAGACACAAAATGGCAAATATTGTATGATTCCATTTAATATGAAATATTTAGGAGAAGAAAATCCATAGAGACAGAAGCCTATTAGTGGTTGCTAGGGGATGGACGGAAGGGGGAATGGGGATTGACTGCCTAGTGGGTATGGGGTTTCCTTTTGGGGTGAGAAAAAAGTTGAAAATTAGATAACAGTGATAGTTGCACTATGAATATCGTTGCATTGGGACTATACTAAAAATCACACAAAGTTGCACACTTTAAACAGGTGGATTTGGGGGTTCGCAAATTATAGCTCAGTAAAGATGTTGCATTTCCAAATTATAGGAACCAAATCATCCCATTTGTTTCTCAAACGTGTGCCCGGGAGCCCTTACTGTTTGGGTAGCAGGCTAGATGCTGGATACTTAGGATGGAGAGATGATGTGCGAGCTTGCTTCCGTCTATAATGGGGTCTTGGTGCTAAAACGGTTATATATGTAGACAGTGATTTAAAACCCCGGACTCAGGGGTTAAAGCGATCCACATTGGAATCCACTGGTTTATCTTGAGACTGTTTGACCTTGGGCTCATTTCTCTTTCCTAGATCTGTCAAATGGGAACGATAATCAGCACTTTTCTCAGGTGGGAAGCGCCTGCTAGGAGCTACAGCAGTTACGGCCCCTGGTGGTGGTGGGAAGTGTACTATTGTCCCATTTTGCAGCTGCGGGCGCAAAAGGGTCAGAATCAAAAAGCCAGGTCGTCCCCGCCTGAGTCAGGGTCTCGGTTTCCCGGCCGGCCGGGAAAAGTCCGCAGACCCCGGCTGGTCTTGCGTTCACCTGGAGCGCCTGCGTGCCGCGCGCCCCCGCCGGGAGGATCGCGCGCCCGGCCCCGGTGAGCGCGCACGTGTGTCCCGGCGGTTGCCTAGCAACCGGCCAGGCGAGGCGGCCGCGCGGGCATGGAGACGCCCGGCGGGACCGTGAGCGCCGCGGTCCGGGAGCACCTGAGGCAGTTGTGTCTTCGCGAGTTCCCGTGCGGCACCGGCAGCTGGGTGCGGGCGCCGGCGGGGGCGGCCGGAGGAGGGACGCGGGGATCTGCGGCGCCGAGGGGCCCGGGCCGCCGGCACAGGCTTTGGCGGATCCGGAGAAGCCTGAGGGGAGGTTTGGATCTGGGCGTTTAGGGAGCGTCCTGAGCTGGGGTGGGGGCTGGGACGCCGCAAGGGCCGACGGGAGAGCTCCTCCCCCCCCCCCCCCCCCCCCAGGTCTGACCCGCAGAGGATGGCGGGACCCCGCCTAGACCTGAGCCCGGCGGGCTGACCGGGGGGGGGTAGGGCTTCTCCGTTAGAAACACCAGGCTCCCTTTGAGGTGGAAAGTTTTTGCCTGGGCCAAGAGCTTCTCAACCCTCAGGTGCCCCAGAGCGCAGAAGGCGTGGTCCTGAGCAGGCCCGGTTCTGCTGCCTCCAGAGGCCGGTGGGTCTGGGGGAGAAGCGGCTCCCTCCCTCCTCTCCTGGCTCCTTGTCTCGGAGGCCGGAAACTCTTCCCTTCTAAAGTTTCTCCCTGGGGTGCAAGTCGTGGCTTTTGCGGGCTGGAGCAGGTGCGTCTACCCGCACCCCACCCCCATCAGCTAGTGCTCCTGGTGGGGATGAGGAGCAGGCCATTGAGAACCTGCAGCCCCCAGGATGTGCCCTGGAATATCTTGAGGGTCTGGAATGTTCCCCTCCTGCTTGCTGGGAAGCTGAGGCCCCCCCCACACTGGTAGGGGCTAAGGGGAGGTCTGTGTGCCCATTTTCATAGAGGAGAAAACCAAGGCACCAATCAAGGAACTAATGGATTTGTCTCCTCAACAAACACTGTTGAGTGTCTACTGTGCAAGGTGCTGTTGGGTTTCACCGATGTCTCCAGTTCTCCTGGGGGAAGGGCTGGGAGAAAGTCAGCTCTGGGACCCAACCTTTCCCTGTCCGCTGTGGCCTCTAAATTCAGAATTCACCTTTTCAGCCATGGTACTTCTTCCTCGAAAGCCATTCCTTGGTTAATACATCCCCCAGATTGCCTTTTGCGCCTCTAGCTTTTAGTACATAAATCCTTCTTAACTGTTAGGTTGCTTTCACCTGCTTCTTCAGGGTTCCCAGCTTGAGTAAATTCCTAAAGGCAGGAATGCAGTTCTTTGTAGTTCTATCCATGGCTGATGATCAGTCGGAAGTATTGATTACTCACTGCTTAAACTTCTAAACTCTTGATCCCTGATGGTCCTATCTTACCATCTACTCTTTTTGGGGAGTCTCGAATCCTTGAGAGGGCTGAGTCACGAGTAGCGAACTTCTCCACCTCCACCGCTGCAGAATAAGTCACGTTTTCTTCCTCGAACTTGGCGAACATGGAGGGAGCTGATCCCCAGAGACGAGGAGGCCGTGAGCCCCGGGGAGGAGACGGTGGAGGCCCTGTTGGGCCTGGTCCGCAGCCCCCACTCCCCCTGGGCTCTGCTGGAGGGCTCCAGTGCAGAGGACCGTTTTCTGAGAGAACTGGCCATCCAGAATCCCCTGATGCTCAAGGACACCTTCTTCTACTCCTACTTCAGGTCCCTACGAGTGGTGGACAAGCAGGTGAGTGCCAGAGGTTGATGTCAAGGAGGCCATGCCCCTTAAAGAGCTTAGTGGCGAGACCTAGGTGGTGAGTAGAAGGAAGGATGGGGAGGTAGCTCGGACCGAATTAACTTCACCAGCGCCTCCACCTGCCAGGGCCAGCTGCTCATTTGTTCCGTGTCTTCTTCCTTCACCCCCGGGGAATCCAGGTGTGTTTTCTACAGCTGACTTCTGATTTGGGGCTCCTGGGTCCTCGGAGAGACCTTTGAAGTGTCTGTGTCGGTTTTACTTAAACTGTGGGGGGCCGGGGTTGGGGAGGGTTGGCATGGTACTGTATTAATTTCTGTTACTGAGAAGCCTTCTTTGCCTCTACCGATAACAGAGCCCCAATCTGCAAACTCAGCCTCCCTACATTGGCTTCCCCTTTCCCAGAGAAACTGTGGATCTACACAGTACCAGGTGGGAGGGGCGGGAACAACTCCTGTCAGTTTTCCTGGGACTTTGGGGCATCAGCGCTGAAAGTGTCCCGGGAACGCCTCAATCCTGGGCACACTGGCACAGTCGCCAGGAAGGGCCCTGATGTCTTTGAGGCCACAGAGAACTGAAGGTTCACAGATAGGCCTCTGAACTTCCGGTCTGATCCTGCTGTGTGTAAACTAGTGATTCCTTAAGGCCTCAGGGGTAGACAGCACAGAACATGGGATCCCTGCCCTTGGGAGCACACAGTCCAGCTGGGGACACGGGACACTGGGCTGGTAGCTGTACAGCGCCTCCGGGGAGTGAGGCGGGGGGCTAAGAGGTCACTGCGGAGGCGGAGCCCTGCGATCCTGGTGGAATGTGCAGGAGAGGCTGTAAGAGGGTCGGTAGGGGAGACGAAAGGGGTTGGTGTGTTCGAGGTGACTCCCTCAGGAGGCAAGTGGCCTCCTGTCGGTGGCCTCCCGTGGACCCTGTTTCTGCTCCAAAGCTGCCTCACCCGCAAGAGCTCTCAACTTCCTTTCCTTCCCTTCCAGGTGAGCCTGGTGGATAAAGACCTCCTGAAATTTCTAAATCTTGAAGAGTTGGTACTGAGTGCTAATCAAATCCAGGAGATCGATGCTGTCAACCTGCCCCCAACTCTCAAGGTAAAAGAGCTCAGACTCCATTTAGGGTCTTCGAGTTGGCTCTGCCCAGAGGCCCTGCCCCTGCCCTCCCCACAGAAGGTTTGGCCAGTGTGGCTGGATGCCAAGGACCAGCCCCAGGCTTTGGAGAGGGAGGCCAGGTTCCGAAAAAGTAGAATCTCCATAGGACCCTGCAGTTCTGTGTCTGGGTGTATGCCCCAGAGAAGTGAAGGCAGGGACTGAGATTCTTGCTGGCCCGTGTTCACGGCAGCACTCCTCACGACAGCTGAAAGGTGGAGACAACCCAGATGTCCACCAGCCAAGAAAGGGCAAACAAAATGTGGTCCCTCCATGTGGTGGGATATTCTTCAGTCATAAACAGGAACGATTCGTGCTGGGACATGGACGAACCTTGAACACGTGATGCTGAGTACAAGAGACACGAGAGGTCACATGTTAGCTGATTCCGCTTGCATGAAATATCTAGAAGAGGCAATTCCACAGAGACAGGGAGTAGATTAGAGGTTACTGGGGCAGGGGTGAGGGCGATGTGGAGTTGTTGCTTAATGGGGTACAGTCTGTCTGGGGTGATGAAAAATTTCAGAAGTAGGTAGCAGTGACAGCTGCACTACAGTGTGAGTGAACTTAATGCCACTGAATTGTACACTTAAAAGTAGGTAAAATGGGGGCGCCTGGGTGGCTCAGTCGTTTGAGCCTCCTGACTCTTGATTTCAGCTCAGGTCATGATCCCAGGGTTGAGGGATCTAGCCCCGTGTTGGGCTCCATGCTGAACTTGGAGCCTGCTGAAGATTCTCTCTCTCTCTCTCTCTCTCTCTCTCTCTCTCTCTCTCTCTC